AGTTTCTAGGATGACCGCTAGGTGGCGCAATTACGATGATATAGCTAAAAATTCAACTTTTCTCAAGAAATCGCTATATTAAGATACTGTTTTAACAACAGAAATCAAAAGTTCATTAATTTTTGCGCCAGTTTGGTTATTAAGCTTTTTTTCGTATCTTCAGTAATAAGGGTGGGGGAAGCTGGTGAATTTTTTTTTTTAAATTGCTGCATCTTTCATACCCCTCATTCAAACTCATTCAATTTGGGTTTATTTGGAAGAGAATTTCATTCTTATTAAGAACACCACTTCATTCGAGGTCGATAGTTCCCACCGCGTGTTCTAGAGGGCGCTGTTTATTCAAGATCCAGTTTTTTATAATTTTCATGAAAAATCCAAATGGCCTAATATTATTTTTGTATTGCTGTGCTTGAAAAGCAAAAAAATATCTACGTTTTGGCACAAACCGCAATTCAATATCTGCATTCGTTTTCAAGTTACGTAAGGTCTATGGTCTCCATAATATCGTACCTGGCCGACCTTAGTGGGACACCCTGTAGATAGAAAGCTAAAATTTCCACGGAATTTTATCTCAATAAAAAGAGGTTATTTGAGACTCCGAGCCCAAGGGCTTCATTTCTTTTTTATAGGAGAAAATCAGCTTTGAATCTTTTGTGAAATTTGAGACAAAGTTTTGACTTTGAGCCTCAATATCTCCAGAAGTATTCAAGATAGAGAATTGAATTTAATTAATCTTAAAGATAATTTAATTCTAATTCAGAATATATAATTTTACATCATGTTTGTTGCAATAATAACCGAGTAATGAGCGATTTTGTGACACAATGTCAGATTATTGAAATTTTCTGGGAAAAACGGTTTTTATTTGCTTACAAGCCCTAAAACCCAAAAAACAAAGTTGCGTAAATGCTTTTCCACTAATTTTCACCTCTTCTTTCGATTGGTAAAGTCAAAAATTTTAAAATCCAAAAATTTAAAAATTCGAATTTTTCCAAAGGGCATGGAAATTTGATTTTCAAATATTTCAAAGAGCCATATTTTGGAAACCAGTAAAGCTATCGGCATGAATCTTTTGCCCAATTGTAGCTCTTGAGAAAGGCTATAAAAAAGGTTATTTGAGATTCCGAACTCAAGGGCTTCGTTTTCAAGAAAATCAGCTTTGAATCTTTTGTGAAATTTGAGACAAAGTTTTGACTTTGAGTCTCAATATCTTCAAAAGTATTTGAGATAAAGAATTGAATCTTATTTTATCTTGAAGATAATTTAATTCTGATTCAAAATATATAATTATACATCATAAAATGTGCAGTTATAACCGAATAATGAGTGATTTAATAAGACAATGTCAAATTATTGAAATTTTCTGAGCTCAAAAATTGCAAAAATCGTTTTTATTTTTTTACAAGCTCTAAAACCCACTAAACAAAGTTACGTTAATGGTTTTCCACTAATTTTCACCTCCTCTTTCGATTGGTAAAGTCAAAAATTGCAAAATCCAAAAATTTAAAAATTCAAATTTTTTCAAAGAGGTATGTATCATGAAAATTTGATTTTCAAATATTTCAAAGAGCGATATTTTGAAAACCAGTGAAGCTATCGGTATGAATCTTTTGCTCAATTGTAGCTCTAGAGAAGAGCTATACAAAAGGTTATTTGAGACTCCGAGCCCAAGGGCTTCGTTTTCAAGAAAATCAGCTTTGAATTTTTGGTGAAATTTGAGACAAAGTTTTGACTTTGAGCCTCAATATCTCCAGAAGTATTCGAGATAGAGAATTGAATCTTATTCTATCTCAAAGATAATTTAATTCTGATTCAGAATATATAATTAAACATTATAATTTGTGTAGTTATAACCGAGTCGTTATAAACTCTGGACTCTAGATAACCAAATCAAACTTCAAAATTGCTGAATTCATTTAGTAAACCAAAATGTGTTTTTCAATTTTTGATGTGTGAACATCTATACCGGCGGTTTGATGGTAAATTTAAAGAAATGTGACGGTAGTGTGAAAGAGGAGGTGACGTTATAACCCATGTGCAATGCTAAGTTCGCAGCTACCTCAGCGCTTGCAGCCTATGAGGATTCATTAGATTTCCATGATAGATCAAAGATGTTTAAAAGAGGACGTTGCGTAATAACTTGTACCTATGACATCATTGGGTAGGAATGCAAGATGGTATTAGAATGTATTCATAAATGTACACGGTACTTTGAATACTTAGGTATTGAATACTTGTAATTGTACTATGTACTCGAGAATATTCTACACTGAGTACTTGTACCCGGTAGCCGAGTACATTTTGCCTGTACTCGAAACAGCTCTGACTATGCTACGCCTGATCGCCTATAAATTGTCTGGTCTAAAATTGAAATCCTTTTCAGCATCAGACAAATTTTTGACTTTGAGCCTCAATATCTTCAGAAGTATTTAAGATAGAGAATTGAATCTTATTCAATCTTAAAAATAATTTAATTCTGATTCAGAATATATAATTTTACATCATATTTGTTGCAATAATAACCGAGTAATGAGCGATTTTGTGACACAATGTCAGATTATTGAAATTTTCTGGGAAAAACGGTTTTTATTTTCTTACAAGCCCTAAAACCCAAAAAACAAAGTTGCGTAAATGCTTTTCCACTAGCGGTAGTCGAGTACATTTTGCCTGTACTCTGACTATGCTACGCCCGGTCGCCTATACATCGTCTGGTCTAAAATTGAAACCCTTTTCAGCATAGACCATGAGCAGCCATTACATTACTGCTCTAAACCCCCCCCCCCCCCCCCCCCCATATGAAAACTATAGCTACGTCGTTGAATATTGGGCTTCATAGATTGCGATATGGGACAATAGGTGGTACTTTCCATTAAATTTTCAGTTCATTGATATGGTTGGTAAATTCTATGGACTCTTTGGAGTAAAAACGGAACAACTCGAAGAGGATATCAAGGAAAAAATGTGCATGCCTATTCCTAATACGATAGAATTCTCAATCTCGAAGTCCTATCCCAGAAACTTTTCAAAGCAATTATCTCGCTAACTAATTCGATAGTCGTAGGGTAAGTCCAGTGTTACTAAATATTTTTAAGATATCTGATAAAGCTCTGTATCCGTCGTCAAAGTCAACTGCCGGAATCAAGATGTCATCCATGTAAACCAGTGTTGTATTAAATCCTAATGATCCAAGAACTAGGTAATATTTCGCTGAAATACAGCTGAAGCATTTGCTAATCCAAATGGCATTCGTGTATACTCATAATGCCCATCATGCTGTTTTTGCTCTAGACTCTAGACATACTATTAAAAATTGCTCCACCTATCGCCTACTATGAAAGTCATTTGGCCCAGATGCACATTCTCTACAATGTCTCTAGTTAAATAGCTCAAAACAAGCACTTATCGTGCTCTTTAAAACCCCTTTCGACTGGCATTTACCGATTAATCGCAAAGTTCTAGACATACATAAGAGGAATATGGGTGCGATTGAATGCTTCGTTACACTATTCACAGTGCCCCTAACGTCTCCGGCTCCGGCCGTCTTTAGAATCTATTAATAAAGACCTGCAACCTAGGTTTCTCTATTGTTTTGTGAGGCTTTGTTTCAGATTAATTTGGGATTATGGTGTGTGTATGTGTTTGAAGTACAGGTTGTCGCGATTTATGAGGAAATCTTGATTTAAAAATTTAATCAATAAATCACAGTTAAAGCACATAGGTACAATGTTTTTAACTTTAATTTACAAGACAAGAGTGCAATTTCTTCTTATTGCTTGATTGAACATAATATACTGAATGTCAAAAAGGAGCTTTCAAATTTAGATTCAAATTCTATAATAATATTTTCCAATCAACTATATATCGATAAATCAATCACATTCCTTTTCTTAAATCGACATTAAAATTTTATGAGAGAATTTCACGATTCAATTGTGTGCCAAAGAAATTATCAAAGGATTTTCAAAATCGTTATTATAATCGTAACGGTTTCAAATTTAATTGTATTCTCATTAATTCTGGACTATTTTTTTCAAACTGTTTTCTCTATTGACAAAACGCTATCCATTAAATCGGCAGGGTAGTATCTATAGAAGACGACATTTAGAAAATACCGTATTCGTGGCACGTAGAGCACGCGCCATCGTAAGCTACATCTGGCAATGTTTCCGCGAAATTTAGATATGTTAAGTTAATATACAAATCAGACGCGGAAATACTAAATAAACAGGAACGAGAGACAGCTTTATGTCTGCAATTTTTAACATTTTTTGATTTATGTGAGTATGTCAAGGAATCGAAATTAACACGTCAAAAAAATGCTCCTATCATTGACTCCAAGGTAAAAAACATGTCCAGTTGCAATGTTCACCCTGAAATTATGCTTAACCCTGAGGTAACTTGCTGTTGAGAAACCGGCCCTCACAGAGTGGCCCAAACACTTTCATTAGCCTCATTCCTATACACACATACAAAATTTTTAGAAACGTGAATGATGTACCCTTATCAGCCATCTACTCGCCAAACAATGGGTTTTCGGGTTTCATATGGTGTATTTTTGTCTCATTTTGTAAATTATACCACCCATAGGCGCACGTAAAAGATTTTAACATTCTTTTTGCAGTCATCAATATTTCCTTAATGTTTCTTGTTATGTGGACACACCAATGAACTAACTAATAAATGCATTCCGACATAATTATGTGTACCCTGAGATTGAAAAACAGAGTTTAGCTACATGTATCAAGGAAATTTAGAGTCAGATTAATTTGTTCTTGCTACTTTTCGATGCTATTCAAAGATAGGCAGGCTTCGAATTGCGTCATACTTCAAATTTCCTAACAATATATAAGCAACAAATAACATAAAATAAAGCCACACTTGGAATTGTTGTTGTTGGGTCCTTATACAAGAACAAAACACGGTTTAAAATTTCATAAGCAAGAAACAACATAGAAAAGCATCAAACAAAAACAAACATTGGAAATTGTTTGTTTGCCTACCGTCGCAGAGTTTGCACCGTTTGGCCCTTGGAGCCTCCGATGCTGCGGAGCCTTGATGATGGAATGACGTTAGTCCCGTGCTCACGGGCATTTCTTCTGATCCCCAACAGTTCACAAAACACCATTTTGCCACACGCAAACCCCTCCGTCTGCCGATCCTGTACTGCGCACCTGTTGTCGATGGGCAGGGCCGTTTAAGGGCGCGTCTGCACAACGACTCGGTCGCATTTTAACCGAATTATTGTAAAACGCGACGCCACTGACATCCATACAGGTAAGAGTCCACTTAAGGGCACAGTCACGCTAAATAGTTTTGCAGCAAAAAAAAAAAAGAAAATTGGAAAATTGAAAACCAAGTGTGGTATTTTGGACGGTCGGTGCAATAAGTGGCGTCGCGCTGCACGACCGACTTACTGAGGCGTCCCGGCGCCGATGTCGGCGTGCGTCGTTCGAGATTGAACGGGATTGGCCGAATGGAAACGGGAAATAGAATGTGCATCAGTTGGACGTTATGAAGTGGATAATTTTGGTTTTTGTGATAGCGAAAGAAAGCATCGCTTTAACTTTTGATTGGGGGCCTCGATTCTCTAATTGGGGAAGATTTTTTTTTCCAGAATCGTTTATGCTACGTAGGACCGGTTTATCAGTAGACGGTTATCTAGTTTAGCTGTCGGTTAATTAATATCTAATAATTATTAGTTAACCAACAGCTAAACTACATAACCGGACCTTAGTAACTATAGTCTTGTGTTAGAAACATGTCTTTATAACACTATAGGGAAGAAGACTCCTAGTGAAAATAAGAAAAGGCTTCTCTGATGAGTAATTATTAATATTTCAAAATTTCAAGGGTTTTCATTGATATAATCAAGAATCTAATTTCTCTACATTCGACTATAATACCCAAGATAATACCCCTGTTAAATACAAAATAATATGTTTGATTTAAATAAGCAAGAATTCAGGTGAATTCTAGAGATTTCTCAATTGACTGGTTGGTCAACTGGTTGTGTATATGAAGAGCGTATTTTGTAAGTTGCTGTCAATTCAATTGATAGAATGAAGTTAAGCAAAAGTGTTTAGTGAGTTTTGTAAGGTTAATTAGTTCAATAAATGTTGTTATTAGGTATGTTCCAACCGACATGAGAACCGTTCTAGAACGGTAATTTCCAGTCGATCTATTCATTTTTCAAGTAGGATAAACGTTCAACTTGTTGAAGAATAAGTGGCAGTGATGCCAGATCTGGTGATTTTATGAAAAATCTGGTGATTGGTGAAAAACTTTTTGAAAAATGGCATTTTCTGGTGATTTTGAAATTTCATAAATTTTGAATATTTTAAACAATGCCATACACTTTATTAACATGTGGTAATGTATTAAAATTGTACTTCATTAACATACAAATTTCATTTGTTTGACAGAAAACCAAATACCCATAAGTGGTGTGTGAGGTCTTTTGATTTTTATATAAATTTGTATTTGTTCTTTTGATATATTTATATTTTTTTCCCTCTTGTTGCTATTGGCCGGTTATTTTTCAAGTTGGCAACATGTATTTTGTTTAGCCAGTAGCGTTGCTTATAGGGGTTTCAGTCAAACCAATTGAAAATTCGACATTTTTATTTTTCATATTTTCGAAATTTTGACTTTTCCAATTGATTCAGCGGGTTTAAATTAATCGAAAAAAATTCTAACATCACTTTCAAAATGGCGATTTCAAAAAGCTAAAAAATCTCAATTTTTGTTCTGGAAATTTTTTCAAATCTTGACAAGGTTAGGAATAATGGCCATTATCTTCAAAGAAATTTGAAGAAATCTAAACAAATTATATATGACTGGAAAAAGCATTAAATTCTCTATAAATCCATGCTAAATTGGTTCTAATAACTCGAATACTTTCTGGGCAATTGGATCTCAAAGTTAACTTTTAGTCCAAATTTGATCAAAAATTTCAAACTCGATTTTCTCGAAAACTATAAGAGCGATTTTAATTAAATACCTTTTTAAAGCCCTTGTCAAGAGTTACATTTCCTGAAAAATTTAATTCAAAATCTTTAATAGATTTTAAGATATCCAAGATCAACTATTTTGAAATAAAAATCTAAAGAAGTAACCCTTTGAAAAATTCGAAATTTGTATTGTCGTATTTATTGAATTTTGACTTTTCCGATCGATAGAGCTGGTCTAAATTAGTTACTAACATCATTACAAAATCTTGATTTCAACACAGAGAAAAATTAAAAAGAAAATCTCAATTTTTAGGTTTAATTTTTTTAAAAATCCTGACAAGGTTAGGAGCAATTGCCAATACTTCTATTAAATTTTGAACAAATCAAAATAAATTATATATGGTTGGAAAGAGCATCAAATTCTCTATAAATCAGTGCAAGATTGAGTTTGATAACTCAAATACTTTTGGAGCAATTGAGCCTCAAAGTTGGATTTTAGTTGAAGGACCCCACACTTCTTATGGGATTTTGGTTGAACGCGGAATTTAACTAAATTTTGGTATGTTGTATATTTGGACCTCTTGAGTAAAAGTTCTCATGGGTACAAACCGATCCTATGACTAATTTCGGATTTAGGGGGGTTTTTATAACAGTACCTTAGGCAATCTAAGTACCTATAAAGTGTACAGGGTATTTGATTATATTTGGCACCATACCTACAGCGTTTACTATTTAAGATAGAAATAGTATATTGTGTATTTAGGTGGAAAAGTGACACATTCTCGGCCGACGGTGTAAGTTAACGGGCGAGGCGTAGCCGAGGCCGGCAAACACCGAAGGCCGAGAATGTGCTTTTCCACCGAAATACACATACTATTTTTTCTGCGATCGGTTAAATACCTGTCAAATGTTTGTCTTTTAGTTCCAATTATTCAGCAATACGAGAATCACTTTCCCAGCCTAGGCCGGAAAAGTGTTTTCCGTATTGTTATTCATTGATTTCTTCGCAACTATTGAAACATAATTGAAATACCAGAATATTGAGTTTTGCGACCTGTCAACCGGTCAAAAATGCTGACATTTCTTGTCAATCACAGAAAAAAAATTTTAAATACAAAACTTGACAGTTTTTTTCTATATTTTCTGATAACGCTATCAGAAAAAACAAAATCGCATTGGAAAATGGAGAAACGTAATGGCTGGAAAGAGCATCAAATTCTCTGTAAATCAGTGCTAGATTGAGTTTGATAACGCAAATACTTTTAGAGCAATTGAGTCTCAAAGTTGGATTTTAGTTGAATTTCAGTCAAAAACTTCAAACTCGATTTTCTCAAAAACCGTAAATGCCAACGACTTCAACTGAGTACCATTTTGAAGCCCTTATTAGGAGCTACAATTTCAAAAAAAAATTGATCCAAAATCCCTGACGGGTTCTGAGAAAATTAAATTTGAAAATTTTGAAATAAAGATCCCAAATCCCTTTGAAAAAAATTCAAAAACTCGAAATTTTCATTTTTCAGACTTTCGTAATTTTAACTTTTCCAATCGATAGACCGGGTCTAAATTAGTCGAAAAAAAATCTAACATTATTTCAAAATGACAATTTTAAAGGAAGATTTTTTGGATCAAAATTTAAAAAAAAAATCCTGACATGTTCATAAACAATTGCCCATATCTTCATTGAAATTTGAGCAAACTAAAACATATCGTATATCATTGAAAAAAGCAATAAATTTTCTATAATTCTGTGATGCTAAATTGGATTTGGTAGCTCAAATACTTTTTGATCAGTTGAATCACAAAGTTGAATTTTACTACAATCACTGATCAATAAATCTCATGTATTACCAAGAATTACAACTAGTTACTTATGATTGTTAAATATTTTACCAGGTGATTTCCATTTTTTGGGGGATTCCTATATCATTCTCAATTGATTACCTGATTTCCTCTAAGTCTAAGCAATCATTTGATTCTCAAAACAATATCCAATTGTTAAGCTTCTTAAGATATTGTGCAAAATGTGGCAACGATAAGCCACATTTTCTCCTGTACCATATGGCATTATCGAATTTCGAATCCGACATTTTGTCTATGGGCCACAATGTCATCTAATAGTCAAACGCAAATATTATAATCTTTTCCGGCAGTTAACAAAAATCTAATTGGAGTTTCCTCCCCTATTCAATTCAGAAAATAAAAAAAAAATCCCGAAAAATTGAGACTGAAAAACCAGGTACACACGATGAAGGTGACCACACATAAAAACCCTCGCCCCTACGGACTCGTAATTTTAGAAGACCACGGCCCTCTGGGCTCGTAACTTCCGGAGCTCCATCTGTCTGCTCCCCAGACTCTTTAAAATATCACTGCTTAAGAGTGTATTACCAAATACAACAATGGATAGGAAATAATCTTAATCCTCTAGAATTTGGTTAAATATGTAAGGTCGCGGGCTAGTTTTCGAAGAGTTACATCCTGGATATAAGAACTTTTCTTAGGTATCGAACATTTCAGCTAATCTGAAATTTTTGAAGGAACTAGGAACGTGTCGAGTAGGGCTCAGACCTATTTTATATCCAGTTCTCTTGAACATTTTCCAAATTCCTATTTGTTTCTAAGATATTGAAGCAAATTAGGAAAAAGTGCGAAAAATCAAGATGGCGGACCAGATTTGGGGATGTTCCACCAATCACAGCAATGGGGACTTTTAAGGTCTGTTCCCACAGGAGTCTCCGACAGTTTGCAACCTGTCAGAAACAATCGCTCAGCTGAGTTACAGATTGATCTTGGCAGCATTGAAAACATGTATGGGCGATTCTTACTGACAGTTTGCAAACTGTCAGAGACTCCTGTGGGAACAGACCCTTAGTATGCTCATAGGAAACCTAAAAGCTATCGAATAATGGTGGTGGCAGCTTTAACCTAATTTGTTTACTCCTGACCCCTAATTGCTCTGGACTATTATTTTTAAAGGTATTAGTGTGCACTTAGTGTATTTATGTCTTTTTTCACTAGATGATAGAAATACATTTCTCCTGAACTGGTTTTAGCAAAGGATTTGTTAAAATTCACAAAATTATCAGGTTTTGGAAGAAAAATTTAAAATGTAGCAACCCTAGTCTAAAAATGTAGTAACCCTAACGCAATTTAACGTTTCAAAGTAGGCCTTGTAGTTTTTGACAGTTAATTTAAAATGGCTGGGTTGTTTCCAAGACCTAAGGTAAAGTACCCAGTTGTTGACAGGGTCCCAAAAGTTGACACATTAGCATATTATTCCCGTAAATAAGAATTTATATAGGTTATAAGCTAACTGAAATAGCTTATAGTATTGTTGGAGCCATTTTTCAGGCTATAGCTGATGTATGGATTTGAAATGACAAGTTTTTTCAAAATTGTGGCAAGAAGTAGTGAACAGGTGCAAATGTTTGAATTTTTTCCCAGATTTCTAGTGAAAATAGTTAAGAAGATATAAAAACAAAAGTTC